AAAAAGGGATGTGGGGGAATTCAGGGACCAGGCAGACAAGAGAAAATAAACCTCTCTCAGCAGGTTAGAGGAAAACAAAAGCAGGCAATTGAAATGCTTGAAACTGAAGATATAGTAGACCTTTAGTATGTGTGTGTATATGTCAGTAGCAAGCTTTGAACTCAGGACCTTAGCTTTTTCCCTCAAGGCTGTCATTCTTCCACTTGGACCAAAGCTCCACTTCTAGCTTTTTGCTGGTTAATTGGAGATAAGAATCGAATGGACTTTTATGCTTGGGCTGGCTTTGAACCTTGATCCTGGGATCTCAGCTCTCTGAGTAGCTAGGATTACAGGGATGAGTCACAGATGCCCAGCAGACATAATACAACTCTTAGTGTTCTTAATTCCTGCCTCCAGAAGCCCCAGGATCAAGGAGTGTTTCTGAATAAAGTCCCGGAGTCAAAGAAAATGTCACTGAGTCTATATAGAACTGGAAGGAAACTTGGAGGTTGCCCTCTCTATCAAGATACCCCAACACCTCTTTAGACAGCCTCCTTCTCCATGGCTCTCTAGCACTTTTATGGAGGTGAAGGCAGTGAAGACATAAAATAAACACTTGGATTTTAACTGCCCCTGGCTGGAACACTGGCGTTCAGGCCCCTGGGCAAGGCCCTGTCCTCATCTGGCAGCTGTGACAAAGTGGAGGCCTGGTCCTTCTGGTAGCCTGATTGAGGGTGTCAGGCCTGCCGGTCCTGACCTTCAACCTCACCCTTCCCTACCTCAGCCCTGAGTCTGAAAGCAGGTGAGGCCATGAGATCCAGGAAAATGATGGGGAAAATGTCTTCAGCAGCCACTGGCCGGGGGGAACCAAGCGGATATTGATCTGGTCTATGGGAGTGAGGGGACCTGTTAAACTTGTGGCTGTTAAACTGCACTGCATTCGGCTAGCCGTCTCTGCAGGCAGGCGGCTGGTCTGGTGAGCAGGCGTGGACAAGCCCAGCAGCTCATTTGAAGTGCACAGGACAGGAAAGCGTAGGCTGAGCTGTGGCCCAACTGGGTAGCATTTCCCAGTCTCTGTCATATATCGGATTGTCTTCTCCCTTCTGGGTGGCACCGATCCCCAACCAGCCAAATCTACCTTCATCTCTCAGATGCCCAGCATGGAGGCTGAGAGCAGGCTTGGGAGTTGCAGCCTGACAGTCTGGAGCTCGAATCCTGACACTGCCACTACCAGCCTTGTGGGCCAAGTGCTTCTTTCTCGGATGTAACCAGCTTCCTCCTCAATAAAAACATATCCTGGGCTTTATCCTTTAGAATGGTATGAAAATCAGATGAGATAATCATTGCAGGAGACCAGAGAGGACTGGTAGTCACCCAGAATTGCACAGCAAGAGAACAGAAAAGATGCTGGGGTTAGCTCAGATCTTACCTTACCCCATCTGACATCTCTTGGGTCTGAGGTCCTGGACTCAGGTTTGCATTGGGTCAGAGGCCTGGCCTTTGTACCCTGGCAGCTGGCTTCTATGATCTCAAGAACAACAACAGCCAGAGCTGCTCTGGGCTGGCCTTGAGCACCTCCGCCCCCCGCCCCCCTTAGTGGTTCCTTTGGCCTGACCCAGATTCCCCATGGGGCCTTATCTGTCCATTCTCTCCTTTCCCACCAGACTAATCTCTCCTTCTTTTCAAGAGTTCCTGTTTCCTCCCTGCCGCCTTCTTGTCTCCCTGTCTCTCCTGTGATTTCAACTATGTCTCCAGCCAGCCTCCCACACTGCTCCAAACCCACCCAGTGAAGCTTGGTTGGTGCTTTTGCCTCTCTGCAGGGCTTTGAGCCACACAGAACCTTTGGCCTTGTGCGTGCCACATGAGTGCCACTGGCTTGTGTGGAGAATTCGGCCTTCACTAGAGATCTGTTAGCCACAAGTCTAGTTCTTTGAGCCCTTAGCCAGGCTCCCAGTGCTGTTGTTTGAGGGTCCTACCTTAGACTTCCCAGGTACCAAGATTGTAGGGTTCTCTGCAATCTCCAAACACCCTGAACTTGTGATTTATAGGAGAATCTGGGTTTCTTGCTGCAGGGAGCCCCACCCCCTCGAGTGGCTTCAGTCTGGAGAGCCTGACCTGCCTGGTAGGATGAGAAATCCAGGTACCAGCTGTCCATGTTTCCTCTGCTCCCCAATTCCTGCCCAGCCAGAGAGGTGCAGAATTTCGTCCCAGGACTGTGTGCAAGAGGTTCAAGAGGTTCACGGAGTCAGAGCCCAGTGAGGCCTCCCTTCACATGAGATTTGGAGCAAGCCCCCTCCCTCCACTCCTGCCACACTCCATTTGCCTCAGTTTCCTCATCAATCAAACAATGATAATAACATCCACCTGGCAGAGGCTCCAGGAAAGATTACTTGGGACAATGTATTTGGACTGGCACATAGCAAGCGCACAATTAATGGTATCACTTTTGTGTGTGTGTGTGTGTGTGTGAAGTCTTAGCAAGGATTTACTGTCATATTAACAAGATAGAAAGAAATAGGAAAGAAGGGAGAGAGGCGTGCCTCTTGTTTGAGAAATGCAGAGGTAGAAGATGAGCTCTGTTTTTTTTTTTTTTTTGGGGGGGGGGGGACGGGGATCTGACACTGGGACTCAAACTTGGTATCTGATGCTTTTGCTCCTGAGAGATGAATTCTAAATGGTGTCATTTATATTCCCATGTCCACCCTTTTGCAGAACCATTGGGTGTCTTTGGCCTACTTCCTTGTCTAGATGAAGCTCAAAGACTACCCTCTAATTCAACATTACTGAGAAGTGTTTTGTACTCAACAACTAGGGCCTGACAGGTACACCAGGCTGGTCCTGGCTCATAGTGAAACTCCAGAAAGCAGGAAAGGCAGATAAAGACACACCACAGGCCTCTACATACCCTGGCTCAGAACAGTGCAGAGGCTGGGGGAACCTAGCGGAGGCTTTCCTGGGGCTGACTATGGTAAGGGAGGGCTTCTTGGAGGAGGCATCCATTCACCTGGGCCTTGAAGGAGAAAGAACGTTGTCTGGTCATGGGACAATGAGCATGATGACTGCTTTCAAGGTTCAAAGGGTTACAAGGAGCAAGTCACCTTCTTGCACCCAGAGCACTGGCTGGGCGTTGCAGAGAGGTCTGAGAAGGGACAATGATATTCTGGACCGCTAAGGGAACAGGCCATGTCAGAGGTAACTGGCTGAGCAAGTAGATCTCCTTTTCACAGCTATGAGAGTTGTGCTCTGGCTAAAGCTGAGGGGGCACCACAGGACTACAGGAAATAAGACTGGAAGAGTCCCCTGAAGTTCAAGGTGCCAAGCCAGGGAGCTGGAACTGGTTTTGGAGGGCCATAGACCCAAGGAGCCCTGGGCCAGAGAAGGAACATACTCCAGGCACAGTGGAGGCCTATATATCAGCCTGGAAGGTTCTCACCCGACCCCCAACCCCCAGCTGGGGAAAGCCCTTCCCACCTCTGACTTCCTTGTCCACAAAACAAGAGAAGAGACTACAAGATTTATCTCCCAGTTCTTTCCAGCCTATGATTCAGCCACTGGGGCACTGTCCCCACAGCAAGACTTCAGGCAGAGTTTGGAGATGGCCATAAAAGCCCACCCTCTCCCCACCCTGCGATCGGGCCAGCCCTTGGTGTTTGTCCACACCATCCCACTTCTTGGAATTTCTACTTCACCAAATTCTCTCCAGGTCTCAATCCCTGGATGCCTCTCCGTATCCATGTGCGAGAGCCCCACAGACAAATTACGCAGAACATTCTCTTAGGATATCCTTGCTCTGTGGCCTTCCTATGGGCAGAACAATGATAACTGCTTCCACCTTAGGGGTACCTTCTGGGGTCCAGGCCTGAGGGCACTGCCAAGCTGCCCATGTGCAGGTGTTACCTCTGAGGGTTGGGCAGGGGTGGTGATGTGCCAGAGGTGATCCTTCTCCTCAGTGCCCATCCGGTTCTTTTTCCCTCTTTGTTCATCTGACTTTCATCCCTTTTCCTCTTGATGTCTCCAACCTCTAAGACAGAGCAACCCCAGGCCCAGGCTTTGAACCTTTTGGCTTTTTTAGCCTACCCCACACCCTTAGTGACGGCATCAAATATGTCTCTTCAGTCCTGGAGTTCTTTCCAGAACACCAACAACCATCTGCCTTTCCATCAGACTTTCCACTGGGAATCTAATCCACGCCTTCATCACCATGCTTCCAACTCTGAGCCCTGGTCCTCTTTCTGCCCCATCTTGCAATCAGCCTGATATCCTCCCTCTTGGTTTGGCCCAAACCCTGGCAGTTCTCGGGCCTCTTACCCCTCACACCCCACAGGAAAAAAGAGAACACATGCTGTTGGCTCCACTTTCAAAACAGAACCAGAATCCAACTGCTTCACAGCCATCAGCCTGGCCCAAGCCTGAGCCCAGGGTCTTTCCCAACTTCTAGACTTAATCATCACCAGCCCTGTTTCACAAATGGGGAAATGAGGCAGGGGACCTTTCTCGGGGCGGCACAGGAAACCCATTAGGGCTAGCTGAAGCCTGGGTCTGCCACCATCTCCTGAAGGTGCCCAGCCTCTGGGATGGGTTTCCTCTTGCAGCTGACCACATGGCCGGTAGTGGCTGCACAGTGTGTGTGTCCCTGAGGAATGAAGATGCTGCCAGCTGGGTTTATGTTTCAAGACGTCTGTCCTCACCCTTGACCAAGAGATCTTAACAGAGAAAGTGGGGCCAAGGCTTGGTGAGAGGAAGGGGGAGGTGGCTGTCAGGACATCAATCGGAAGCCGCCTTGCCTGGAAACTTTAGACTCATCTCCACTAGCCTCAGGATCTGCTGGGTTCACTAGAGGAGGCCAGAGACTGCAGGAGCAGGCTGGGGCTCGCTCACCATTTATTTTGTACAGCTGTTTCAAAAGCTTGTTTAAAATATAGATTATATATATTTATATATATATAAAATATATAAAGAGGAACTGGAGTGAGCCACCCCCCCAAAAAAAAGCTGTTTTATAAATATTTCTGTAGCTCCCACATCCCAGAAGGAAAAAAAAAAAAAGAAAAATTTACAACCCAAGCTAGTGGTTCCATGTGGTGGGCCCAGGGCCCCGCAGAACATTCCAGAAAGCTGCTCTCTCTCTCTCTCTCTCTGGACTTCAAAGGTCAAGTCCGCACAGTCTCACCCATCTCTCTCTGCCCCTGGCTCCTTAGGCCAGCCTGGAAGGCAGCATGGTGTGGGCACTCCGGGGGGCCTCTGGCTGCCAGGTTATTTTTAATCCTATCGGTTTTCTTTGATGTCCTGGCCCTTCTGTCCAGGCCTTCTGTTCCTGGTGGCTTCCAAGTAGAAGCACAGCACGCTGGGCATGCAGAATTTGCAAGGAAGTCCATAGGGCTTCAGTGCCCCTGTGGGTGGGGCAGTGCCCCCCCCCACCAGTCCAGAGTGCACGCGCCGCTAATGGAGCAGCTGTGGGCGGGGCCTCACTTGCACACGTAGCGCTCCACCATGCGCTCGCACCTGCGGCAGGTGACGTAGCAGCACCAGTGGTACTTGCAGTGGCACCGCTCCACCACGCGATCCGTGTAGGGGTTGTAGCCACGCCCACAGCACATGAGGTCGCAGCTGTCACTGCCGTTGGACGTCTTGTTGCACTGTCTGGGGGTGAGGTGGGAAGAGGAGGTCAGTGCCATTCACTTTACCCCCTGCGCCTGGCACCTACCCCACATCCCAGCAGCCTGCCGACTGAGCCCCTTTAAAAGTGGCAAGGTATTAGGGAACTTTTAGGTAATCTGACCCTGAGGGTGCTTAACTTTCCCTCAATGTTTCCAATAAGCTGTTCCTTGGAAGATAATCTCATTTCGGTTTCTTCCGAATATCGGAAGGACCCGCAAAACAGTGTCCCTAATAACCTTGGCTTCATAGATAGCCTTTCATTGTATTGGAAAGGATGGGCAAGTCGTGTGTGCTTGTCTGATTTTACATTTAGAATCCCAGGATAAATTCTGAAACACTGAACATGACACAGGACATGAGGACGAGTAAGAGTGTCCTTGTGTGTGGAGAAGCATCTACTACAGGATAGTCACCTTGTGTCCCTGTCCTTCAGTAAGGGATCGTCTTACCTCCCTGAGGCTTGAGAGTCCACTCCTGTGCATTGTACAGATGAAGCAGCTCCAGCACAGGGTGGAGGCTGCTCAAGCTCTCAGTGACAATCTTGGCTATGGTCTACGATCAACTCTGGTACTAAGGCAATTGCCTAACTCCCTTCCCTAAGCTACAGGAGGAGCCAGGAAAGGTTCCTGTGAAATCCCTTCTGCTGCCATCAGCCCACGTAGTGAAAAGCCAGCGATTCAGGGGGGTCATCCTCAAGCTAGGTAGGCAGGGCAGGCAGAGATACAAAGTTTGGGGTATTTGCTATTGAAGTAAAAGTCTAGTGACACAAAGCCTGTCCCTAGAGGGGGCTGTAGGGGACCTGGAGGGAAGGCTAAGGAAGGGTAATGTGGGGGTGGGGCAGCTTCATTTTTTTCCAGTGTGCAGGGCAAGCCCTAGAGCAGACTGGGATCAGCCAAGAGGTGAATCTAGGACAGTGAACTTGGACTTTCACTGCCCCCACTGCAGGAAGTGAGCCTGGGCCTCAGATCCCTGAAAGACAAGTTCAAGTTCACTCAGCTCTGAAGCTGCTCCCTTCTCGGACACAGCCATTCACAGATCCAGGGGAACTCTCTCTTCACTATGGAAATATTCAGTGGGCTACACCCAGCCTCTCCATGTTCTAGAATCCTCTCCCCTTTGCAAATCCCTCACCCTCACACCAGCCCAGATTCTGGCTCTTTCCTGTCTCCCTGGCCTGACCTATTCCATCTTCACTTCACCGAACCCCTCAATCTGGCCTCCAGATGGGAGCCTGGGCCTCTTCACAGAGCCTGCTGCCCTGGCCTGTGGGGATGGAGCCCCAAACCACCCCTCCCCTCCTGGACACAGGAAAGTGGGCTGCGGAGGAAGCAGATGCTGGCTAGGTACCAAGTATGTGCCAAACACATTCCCAGACACCCGCTCTCCACTCAATATTCCTTTAACCTCGCCGAGCACCAGTTTTGTGGAATGCTATTAGGGGCTCCTTAATAAAAGATTTCCCCAGCCAAGCATCTCTGGGAAACACTAGCTTAATGGGTCCTTTACTGCGGCTTCCCCAGGGCCTCTGATACGTCTTTGTACCTTGTAGATGGTCAAAGAGAATTTCCCAGAAATACCTGATCACAGAACTCATTTTACTCGTCTCAGGACTAGCTTTCTCCAGAACCTTCTTTAGGAAGTGTTGCCTACTGGGATACTCAGTAGTCCCACAGAGCACATAGTAGGTCTGTAGCCACCAATAGATTCCCTCCTCTCTCCTATTTGAGAGCCAAGATTGGGTCAGCTGTGGAGACCCTAGCTTGCATAGATCAGAGGCCTCCATTTCCCTCTGCTCTGCACACTTCCTTGAGGGGCTATGGCTGGCAGACCCTTCCCCACCTCTACCTTCCTTTGTGCCTGTAAGGTCCTTTTTTGCTCAGTAATGGATTGTAGGATATTTCTCCTTCACGTGGTCACTGGACACACATTTTCTCTGCCCCTGTTCTATGCGGGGCAGCCCTTTCCTATTCAGTCTCCTAACATAGTCATTATCCCTTCTCATCCAGGGGGAAATACATGCTGGGAACCTCACCAATGTCCATTCCCCAGGCCAGAGTGAGCACTCTTCCTATGAGCCCTGCAGGGGGCGCCTTGGACTGTCAATCTCTTCTCAGGCCTCCTCCCTCCCCTGTATACCTGGCGGATGCCTGCTGGGGTGGCACAACCCTTACCTGTCTTGGGTCCCGTGGGAGCCCACCTTCTCATTCTTCATGCAGAAATCAGGTGAGCTCTGCAGATAGACGAGTTCGGAGTCCTTTATGGGCCGGATGTCCAGGTCCTTGGGCACCAGATGCTTGCGGGTGCCCATGGGTCGGTGTACTACCTTGGTGGCTGACAGGTAGCGGGTCTTGAGATCAGCAGCCACATCCCGGAGCTCCTGCAGCCCCTTCCAGCAGGTACGGATGGAGCAGGAGCCAGACACTCCATGGCATTTACATTTCATTTCCAGAGAGGCGCGCAGAGCCTGCAGACATTCGGGGTGTTAGCTGGACAGCCAGAAGGCCTTCCCTGGCCTGTCTGGGACCCTGGCTCACCACATGGCTTGGTGCTCTTAAAGACTCACCACCTATTCCAGCCTCAAGGAATGAAGGGATTGGCTCTAATGAAAGGGTAGTAGGTCATGTTGGCCCTGGGGGCAGGAGTGGCTGAGAAGGACAGAAAGAGTGGCCTTAGCTGGGCTAAAGCCTTCCACGTATCAAGTGGCTACTGTGTGCCACCTGACTGACACATAATAGGGATTAATCATCACACTGCCCTTCCAAGAAGGATGCTGTTTCCTCTTCTTAGAACAGAGGTAACAAAAGCTCAGAGAGGCTGAGCCTCAGGTCCAAGGTTACACAGCTAGAAAACTGTGAAGCTGGGATTTTTGAATCCATGTCCTAGGGGATGATTCCAAAGCTTCAGCTTTTTAACTGTTCCTCGCCTTTTCTCTCCCACAAACTTGGAGCTCACTAAACACTTGCTGGGACAGAGTGCAACAAAGAAGAGCAGGAAGGAAGGCAATAAGGAGGAATGGGAAGGATGGACAGGAGAGAGGAAGGGAGGGAGCGAGGAAGAGGCAGGGTGGGTGCTTGGGGGCCCCTCCCACTCCCAGCTGGCCTGTTCTCTCCTGCTCTTTGTTATATTCCTGCCTGGCAGAGGCTAAAAGGATTGAATCAGATGATACATACAAAAGGGGGTGCAAGCTATAAAAGTTAAATCAATATTGGCTCTGAAAACTCCTGTTCAGGCCAGACACCAGCTGCTCATGCCTATAATCCTACCTAGCTACCCAGGAGGCTGAGATCTGAGAATGTGGGTTTAAAGCCAGCCTCAGCAGGAACGTCTCTGAGACTCTTATCTCCAATTAACCAGCAAAAAAGCAAGAAGTAGCAGGGTAGCTCAAGTGGTAGAACACCAGCCTTGGCCCAAAGAGCTAAGAGAGGGCCCTAGCTCTGAGTGCAAGCCCCAGCCCTGACACAAGAAAAAAGAGAGAGAAAGAAAAGGAAGGAAGGAAGGAAGCAAGGAAGGAAAGGAAGGAAGGAAAGAAGGAAGAAAGGAATGAAGGAAGGAAGGAAGAGAAAGAAGGAAGGAAGAGAAAGAAGGGAAGGAGAGAGAGAGGGAGGAAGGGAGGGAGGGAAGGTAGGAAACTTGGAGTTCTTTCCCTTCATCATCCGCTAGTATGGAGCCAGAGAATGCATTGGGTATGAAGTCTGGAATTTGCTACACAAACCCAGGAGTGGCAGAGGAATGAAGTGAACAGAACCCAGGCTTCAGGCCTGTGAGTCATCAGGTTAAGGTAAACCAGACTCAGTGTAAGGTGGGGGAAGGACCCAGTAGCCTAAGACCAATTGGGCCAGCGGAAGCCATTGTACTTGTGGTCTCATTTACTCTTTACATAGCCCTATCGCTGGTGGGGATGGCAGCTCCAGGAGCTGGCCTGACATGCCCTGAGCCCCAGCACCCTCTTCTCACTGAGGTAGGGGAAGGTCCTCCAGAGGAGGCTCAGGAATGGCCGATGGGGTGAGAACAGGGCTGGGTAAAGGGTTTCTGAGGGGTCCCCATAGATAGGGACATTCACAGAGCTGGGAGATAGGAGCACTGATAGGCCTCAAGTTTCTAGACTGTCCAAGGATAGCCTGGACTCCTAGAATGCCAACAGGAGGGAGGCCATTGAGAGGTGAGGGCACAAAGACCTACCCACATGGCTCTCCTGTGCCAGGTGTCCCGGCTAAGCCCTCTACACCCTTTTGGCCTCATCCAATGCCTTTATAAAATGAGCTAACAAATCTAGGAGATGTTGGGGCACACAACCCTCTGTCCTCCTGGGGTCTCTCCCCACCCATCTGTGGAAAGATGAGGATAGTACCTATCTAGAGTTGCTGCAACCAGGGGAGAGAAACACAAGTGCCTGGCACAGTGCCTGCATTGCAGATTGGCATGACTTTTTTTTTTTAATTTTCAAAAAATAAAAAGGTCTGATCATTCACTACCACACTCGATCACCCAGGCTTCTGTACAATTGCTGGGACATGAGTGAAACATTGGTAACAGTAGATGTCCTGGAGGCTGGGATTAGTGGATGGATGTGGGTGAAGCTCCTGAGTCAGTCCAAGCTGACCACTGATGGTGTAAGGTTCGCTCATCCCCAGCCCCCTCCTCATCGCCATGTTATAGATGGGAACAACAGAGGCTAGAGAGGAAGCTTACAGCCAGACAGCCAAGGGCAGAAATCAGAGCTCCTGATCCTCTTCCTAGCTCCGTGTTCTTTATTTTTTTTTGGGGGGGGAGAGAGGGGAGGAGAAGGAAGAGGAAGAAGAGGAGGAAGAGGGGTGGGGGCAGCGGCTGCCAAGCAAGCCCAAGCTGCTGTGGAGAGCAGAGGGAGGTCAGCAGACACAATGGGTGTGGGTGGCCAGGGCCCATCCCCCACCCCGATAGGGCCCACCATGGCACTTTCCTGGCCGATGGCCCAAACACACCCTCTGGGGCGGGTGGGGTGGGTGGTTACCTGTCTCCCCACTTCACTGTTGTGTAGACGCATCAGTTTATTGGCTTGGGATCCTGTTTTTTTCACCTTCATAGGAGCATCGGAAAACTTGGCCCCCATGAGGAGCCCGTAGCTGAGGTTGTCCGCACATCCTCCCCAGCGGTTCCCGGGCCCGGGGGGCTCACCTGGGACAGGCCCGCAGGAGCAGCCCGGCAGGTCGCCAGAGGTGCAGGCCCGGGCGATGGCATGGCTGATGGTGGCGGCGGACAGCGCATACACGAAGGCAGATTCCCGGGTCCCTGCAGGATGCGAGGTGCGGGTCAGCAAGACCAACCCAGACTTAGGACCTGCTTCACTGCACCTCACTGTGGGGCCGTGCAGGTTGGGGTTGGTCACCAGGATGGTCAGGTGCATTGTATTGGAACCACCAGCCTGTCCACCTACATCCGCACCTACAACTGGCCCCCACCCTCCCTCCCTCTCTTTCTCTCTCTCCCTTGCGCATGTGCATCTCTAAGCACTACACAGTGTCAGGGGATGCTTTATAGAAATGAAGGCCCAGACTTTAAGGCCCTTCAAGAAGTTGTATCCCGATGAACCAGACAAGTATGCAGAGAGCCTGCTGTGGGTTTGAATTGTATTCCCCAAATGATAGATTCAAGTCCTGGATCCTAGGACCGGTGAGCATGATCTGATTGAGAAATCTGCTGATCAACTGCACTAAAATGAGATTGTAGTGGACCAGAAGTGCCCTGAGCCAATGCCTCAGAAGAAGAGGGAAATGTGGACACACAGACGCCATAATGACAAGGTATGCATGGGCCATGTGATGCAGCTACAGGGCCCAGGCTGGCCTCAAACTCATCATCCTTCTGCCTTAGCCTCCAGATTGCTAGGATTACAGGGGTGCACTATGCCACAGGCTAACCCAAGACAATACATTTTTGTTGTTTGTTGTTTGAAGTCAGCAATGTAGCAGTGACATCAGTCCTAGGAAATAAATGGGGAGCCATGGGCCCTGGCTGAGTCCTAAGTCCAAAGTTCCTGAGTCTCTTAACCAGCAGTTCTTTCTCCTTCTGGAGCCTCAGTTCCCTTAGCTGCAGAACTCAGTGATTACACGCAGCCTGCAGACTTGCCCTGTGGTTCAGATAACTCTGGAAGGAAAGTTGCCATGCTGAAAATACGTGAGAGAAGTTCTTACCATGCAGAAGAGACAAGATCCCTTGGGGTGCTTCTGCGGTTAAAACCTCACTGCCTGCCCTCCCCCCCACAACAAACCTGCCTCCTCCAGGAAGTCTGCTCCACAGCTGTTCTGCCCTTAACCACTTTGTGCCTCATAGCAATTTCCAGCAGCTGGACTGAAGACCACCTAGGACCGCCGCCTGCCTGAAGGTGGGCTCTGTAGCAGTCTCACTATATGATCCTCTCCTGGGAGCCTTCAGTACAGCAGGCAGTGGCCTGGGGGCACACTGCAGCCACCGTTGTTCATTTATATGTGCTGATATATACCCTCGTCGATGTTTATTCATTCCCCAAATCATGAATGCATTCCCCAAATCATGAATGATTCATGGTCCAGCCAGCCAGCCAGCCATGCCTTGTCCATCTGCACATCCATCCATCTATTCACTCATCCATCCACCCGTGAATTCACCCACCTATCCAAACACAGAAGTTATGCCTGCATCCATTCATTCATTCCCACAGGCAAGGAGCAACCCTGCAGTCCCTACCTCTCTCCAGGTCAAGCAGGTAGTTGGGGGCGAGTTCGATGGAGGAACAGTTCCAACGCATGTCAGCAAAGGCCCTGCGGCAGGCCTTCATGGCCTCGCGGGCGGCATGCACGATGGTGCGCATGAGCTCCAGGTTGCTGCGACACAGCTGTACCTGCGCAGACACCAGGCCCTCCAACTGCTTGCAGTGCTGCGTCTGGTTCAGTGCCAAGGCCGCAGGTGTCTTGGATAGTGCCCTGCATACCCCAAAAACAATCAGTGAAAGAAAATCAGGGAACGAGAGGTAAGAGACCTCCACATTCCCTACTGGTCCCAGCCAGCCCTTCAGTGCACTTTTATTATATAATGTTGCTGTTGTTGTTGATATTATGTGATAGACCAGGGCTTGATCTCAGGGCCTGGGTTCCATCCCTGAGCTGTTTTTTTGTTTGTTTGTTTTTTGGTCAGTTGTGGGGCTCGAACTCCGCTTGGGCACTAACCCTGCGCTCTTCAGCTCAAGGCGAGTGTTCTATCACTTAAGCCACAGCGCCACTTCCAGTTTTCTAGTGGTTTATTGGAGATAAGAGTCTCACGGACTTTCCTGCCCAGGCTGGCTTTGAACCATGATCCTTAGATCTCAGCCTCCTGAGTAGCTAGGATTATAGGCATGAACCACCAGCACCTGGACCTGAGCTTTCTTGAACCACAACTCCACATCTTGCTTTTTAGAGGTTAATTAGAGATAAAAGTCTCAAGAATTTTCCTTCCCGGGCTAGCTTGGCCTTCAGAATAGCTAGGATCTCAGGCCACCAGCACCTGGTTCATTATTATTATTGTCATTATTGTCCTAAAGTGGTTGTACAAAGGGGTTTCAATTCAACATGTCAGCTTGTGAGAACAATGCATCTTGATCAATTTCAGATGACGTTGGAGTAGTTCTTAGAAGGAAGTCAGGAAACCAGGAGGCAAAGGCTTCCCTCACAGAGCAATGAGCCCCCTCCCATCACTGGCCTTGACTGGGCCTCAAGTTCTAACCATATGTATAATCATAATCCCCATCCTGCCTACATGATAATTATACTAACACTGACCACGTCTGCAGTTCACCAAGCATGCTCATCCACTGCTTAATTTAGCTCTCTTACACCTGTAAATTATTACTCCTTATTCAACATGTATCCAGCACTGGGCAGCTCTGTGCTAGAAACCATGCAAACTGCTAGACTATAATAATAATAATTACTTGTATTATTAATTGAGTCCTTACCATATGCACAACAGAAGTTAGCAATGTTCTGTCATTGTTGTTTAAACCCATTTATTATGTTGTCAAGTCCATACCCACAAAAAGGATTACCACTAAAGGGTTAATGAACACTCAATTCTGTGATGATCCAGAACTTAGAAACCCATGTTTAGCCATTATCTTTCTGTGGAGCTTTAAGTAAATCACTGATTGTCTCTGAGCTTCAGTATCTATACCTACAAACAGTATTTTCCAATATGGGTTCAAATAAGATAGGGACTTTCAGCCGGGTGCCAGTGGCTCACACCTGAAATCATAGCTATCTCAGGAGGGTAAGATTTGAGGACTGAGGTTCAAAGCCAGCCCAGGCAGCAAAGTCGATGAGACTCTTATCTCCAATTAACCACAGAAAACTGGAAGTGGCACTGTGGCTCAAGTGGTAGAGTGCTCACCTTGAGCTGAGGAGCTCAGTAACAGTACCCAGACCCAGAGTTCAAGCCCCGTGACCAAAAAAAAAAAGGGGGGGGGACTTTCCAAATAACTTGCCTTCATCCAGTTTGTCCTGATGCTTGGTTTCCTCCTGTAGCCAAATGATCTATAATGTGTGTGACACAGATCATTTTCTCCAGGAGCTACTAGTTCAGTGGCTGGATAAAGCCATCAAGTAACAGGAAAGGCTCAGTTGTTCCAACTTCTGGGCTGGTCCAAAGATGAAAACAAGATTTGAGTACCAGCTGTGTGACCTAGATAAGTGACCTAATCTTTCTGGGTCTCACAGTCCTCATTTATTTCAATAGCCATTCCTACTTAAGTCTCTCTATGAAAAGACTTAAATGAGATAATGAATTCCAAGTGTTTGGAATACTCAGACTTGGAGCCAATTAAATCTTGGACTGCAGTAAATGAGTAGACCTAGGTTCTAGCACAAGCCCTGCCCTCTATGTACTGTATAGTGTTAGACAAATTGATGATCTTCTCTGAGCATCAATACAAAATGCAGGCAAGGGCTAAATGAGATAATATATTATGCTGAATACAAAGTAAGTTGTTCTGTTTGATTTTGTTGGTGGTAGTGGTCATGGGGCTTAAACTTGGGCATATGCACTGTCCCTAAGCTTTTGTGCTCAGGACTATCATGCACTGTCCCTAAGCTTTTGTGCTCAAGACTACATGCACTGTCCCTAAGCTTTTGTGCTCAAGACTATCACACTACTGCTTTGAGCCACAGCTCCGCTTTTGATTAGAGATAAGAGTCTCACAGATTTTCCTGTGAACTGGCTTTGAACTTTGATCCTCAGATCTCAGCCCTCTGAGTAGCTAGGATTAGTCTTCCTTCATTCTATGGCAGTTCACTTATTGCAGCTTCCCTATATTGTGGGTTTTAAAAAAAGAATATAGTTACAGGAGAGAGCCACTGGTGCATGGCTTAGTAGTTTTTTTGGTATGTTTGTTTTTGTTTTTTTGTCAGTCATGGGGCTTGAACTCTGGGCCTGGGCACTGTCCTTCAGCTCTTCAGCTCAAGGCAAGTGCTCTATCACTTGAGCCACAGTGCCACTTCCGGTTTTCTAGTGGTTTATTGTAGATAAGAGCCTCACGGACTTTCCTGCCCGGGCTGGCTTTGAACCGTGATCCTCAGATCTCAGCCTCCTGAATAGCTAGGATTACAGGCCTGAGCCAACAGCACCCAGCAGTAGGTTGGTTTTATTCCTCCTGCTTCTCCCTGTAACATGTCCAACCATAACACATCACCCCCCTAAATACATAAACCTAAGATAGACCTAGGAAGCAGACAGAGGGAAGTGGGCCTGGGCTGGCAGTCTGATGTGAGGACACCATAACTCAGCTGGCCTGTGGCCCATTGTGAGTGTCCTGGGCAGTCCCCCTTCCCTGCAGCCCTGGCCCATCCCTACCCCCAAATCATGAATAAGGATATGCTGGGTGTGTCCTAGCTCCAGCAGCCAGCAGTGGCCACTGCAGCATGCACTCACCTAGATTCTAAGCCTAAGTGGAACCATTCGAAGGCTCTTGTTGCACGTTCTAGAGAGTCTGTCAGCATCCCCACAACCCTGTCTGGGTGGGCTCTGCACGCACACACACACACACACACACACACACACACACACACACACAGAGTCTAGCTCCCAGGGTTCTTGGTGGCTAGCAGTGCCCAGCCCCCAGTACCACAGCTCCCTCCCTGGAAGCCCTGGCTCAGCCTAGCCAAGCCTGCCGGCACAGTCAAGGACATTGAGGCTAGGCAGCCCAGTAGATCCAGCCCTCTACAGTGGTCCCTCCTGGTGGGTGTAGCCTATTCTTGGGGGGGGGGGTCTTCCTGCTCTGCACTGAGCTGTCCACAAAGCCTGTCCTGAGCCTGCCCTGACTCACTCTGGCTAATTTTCTTCCCTCTGGACCAGTTTTCTCCATTTAAAATGGAAGGATCCCACGAGGGATAGCGGACCAAGTATCTGGTCCACAGCAGGTGCCCAGTGGGTGCTCAAGCAGCTCACTATGTTTCCGGCTTTTCCCTGGGCCCCTGCGCAACTCAGAAGCAGGGCGATGGGAGTCCAACCTTTACTAGGGAGCTCAGGCAGGCAGGCAGGCAGTGCCTAAAAGCCAGGAGCAGTGTCTGTCTCAAGGAGGGGTCAGTCTGGGCTCTCGATGTGTCTATCTCATTGGCTGAAGGGAAATTTTGGGGACCCCATGAACCCTTTCATCCCAGCTTCCCTCTCTCCAGCCAGCCAGAAGCAGGGTGCTAGGAGAATTCCTCTCAGAGGGCAAGAGGACCTGTGGGATCCATTCTGGGGCTCCTGGCGGTGGGGGCCGGAGACAGGGCAAAGGCCCAGGCCAGTGCCCAGCAACCCGCTGCTGGGACAGGAGTGCTGGCGTGGCCAGTCGGTAGCAATGGCCGGTGTGCAGGGAGGAGGCCTCGGAGCGTGCGGAGGCAGCGGCTGTACTGCTGGGGAGGGCCGGCGCTGCGGTCATCTGGTGATTAGTGGTAATGACCGCGTCTAACTAAATCCCCCTTGGGGAGGTAATCAAGGATTAAGGCGGGAGGCGGGGGAGTCACCAGCATGGACATCTCTCCAGGCTTGCCTGCTCCAGCAGACCCCTAATTGGAAACATTTTGGTTTATCTAGGGGAGGGGGCATAGGGGAGAGGGTGGAGGAAAGGACAAGAGGGAACAGAGAGTTCACAGGGGAGGCCTGTGCCAGGGGTTCTGAGGGGGCCATTGGCTTCCCTCACTCAGGAGTCGAGGGTCTCTTGGTTCAAGTTCTGACTCAGCCACTCACCTACCATGTGAATAGGGCAAGTTCAGTCTCGGTTTCCCAGTCCACAACATTCAATGCCCATGGTTAGGACATTATTTTGCTAATACAGATGGGCAAATGGCTTCATCTACCCCCTCATCACCCAAGGCACAATCCTGCCTCTCCTTTCCGCTCTGCCTGCCCAGCTCCACACCTGGGTGAGCCTTCCTGCCTAAGGTCTCAGGCGGGACGATGTTATCTGGGCCTGGAATACTATAAAGCCTCCTTCCTGCGTTCCCTGTCCAGTCTCTGTCAACTGAGCTCATCTCCTATGCTCAGCAAGCTCTAGAGCACCCAGCCCTAAGTCACCTTCCTGAACCTGCCTGCCACAGCATCCCTCTCTCCTGGGAATGTGATGGGTCCCAGGCCAAAGATCTCACAGTCCCTAAAGGGTCTGAAGCCACTAAAATTCTTCCATCTGGCCTCTCACAGTGCTGATACCAACCCATTCATTCAGGTTGGTACCACTGGAGCACAGCCAGGCTCACAAGGCCTCAGAAACATACCCTGTGGCCCATGTGTCCCCCACAGGGAGTCGGAAAGAGACCATCAGTCTGGTGCTGAGTAGATCCTGAGATGAATAACCACACTTCAGAGTGAGCAGGATCCTGGGCAGGGCTGTACACTGGCATAGAGGCCCTTAGATCTTGCACAGGAAGGCCCCATGGTTCTGCTGACTCGGGGATGGGAGGGTAATAGAGTCTGTGGAAATACCGTTTCCTGCCCTCCACTCTTCAAGTTGTCTTGATCCACAGGTCCAACCTGGAGCCCTGAGGGAAGGGGGATGGAGCACAAGCCTGGGATCTAGTTTGACCCTCATGCTCTTCCCTCTCTGGGCTTCCAGCTACTCCTGGGGTGGCCTGGGTGACACTGACCCTTCGGGACAGGTCAGGACTCCTCAGTGAGCCCCTAGACCTAGGAATTGGGGGTCCTCATGCCTGCCCCTCTTCGCCTACATGTCAGGCTGGGTCAGCACAAGACCAAGAAAGAGAAACTTCCAGGCACAGAGCCTACACGAGTTCTAATTCCAGTAGGAATTTGTTCCAGAACTTCAAAGCCATGAGAGGACTAGACCAGCTCCTTTCCTACATTGTAAGTTAAGGAAACTGAGGCAAATGAAGGGTCTGGAACCTGTAGATCCAGTTCTGCCTTGACCTTACAAGACCCCTGCCCAGTGCTGTGCATGCAAAACCCACTGTGCATCCCTTTTGGTAATGTTTGCCAACCAAAAAGCTGGCAGGCAATTCTCACACCATTGCCAGCACCTGGTGTGTAAGTGGGGAACTGAGGCTGAAGAAGGGCAGGACTTGCTCATAGTATATACAGACCAGGCCTTTGAGACCCCAAACCAAGCCTCTTTCCAGCCCACTGAGGAGCTGCAGAAGCTGAGATGCAGAGAGGTGGGTCTTGTTTGAGCGCTGCCTAGTGGCTAGTGACCTGGTGTTGCTGACTGGAACTCAGACTCCAGTAATACTTATTCCCTGACTGGTAGCAGCTGCCTTCTAGTCTCTTGGGACCCCTCCTAGAGAGACCCTGCCCCTGCTGAGAAGCAAGCTCATTGCTAGTAGAGAGGCAGACTTTAGGGGCATCCCAACCAGCCTGGCGTCTTTCTTCCCATGGGGCAACCACCAAGATTTACAGAGTGATCCTCCTCTGCTCTGTACCATCATGGCAACCAAGAGTAGATGGCCGAGAACTGTCCCCCTCCTTGCTGGCTTCGGTGGTAAGGTATTAAAGGGTCTCAGATTATTTTGGGGGCAGTCAGGTATCTGTCCTATGTTTTCCCCACCCCCACCTGCTTAGTCTGTCCCAGGTGCCCACCAGATGGGGGTGCCTACAATATGGGGGTGCCTTAGGTCAGCCACATGTGGTTTCAGTCCATGTCATCTCCAGGCTAGTAAGCCCAGGCACCGTGGTCCTCAGGTCTGCTGATCCTCGGGTGAGTCGAGTCCTTAGCCTGCACAACTCACCCTGCGGCTTCTGGCCACCAACAGGCCACAGCCAGCCAGCCCACACAAACCTCGCCTCTACTCCTCACTGACTGAGGACAGCCTGATAGTTAAGAAACCCCACAGTGTATGTGTGTGTGAGGGGGGGGGGACTAGAGGGAGAGGGAGAGAGAACAGTAGAACCTACCACCCAGACCAGGAGATTTAGACAGGCCGCACACATAAACCACATATCAAGTTGGGGCTATGAGTCACATGGGTCTCAGAGCCTCAGTTTCCCCTTTGCAGAGCCAGGATGAGTGCAGGCTTCCTGATGGACTCTATGTCACCCAAGCCCAGTTCTTAGCCTCTGAGACCCTTTCCTTCTCTGGACCTTACTTCCTTGTCTACAAAATGGGGTGAGAGTCTTCTGGAGCCCTGACCAGAGCCTTGCTGGATGGGTTCCCAGTAGAAGGAGGTGGTGGCTTCTCCAAGTTTACAGGGACAACTTGGAGGTGTGTTAGGGTAGAGCCCAGGTACCTCTTTTCAGCCCCAGGAAGATGGGGGTCCCCTTTGAGTCATCAATTAATTGATAACTCAGCCCCAGAAGGCTGGCCAGTGACCTTGAGACTCTGTTGGTGGCCCAATGCTATGCTGCCCAGTCTTCTAACTAATCCACAGCCCCTCCCCCCATGCATCTCCAGCCCCCTTAATCTTTCTCCACTGTTTGGTCTGCAGGATCCCAGCTCCAGATCTGCTCCTGTCCTGGACTCTCCACCCTGGTCTGTTGCTGAGTGAGTTTCATGCTCCCACCTGCTGAAAGCCCCCAGCTCTACAACAGTCAAGCCCTGGATCTTCCTCCTCAGGTCCCTTAGCGTGACCCCTCAGAAAGTCTCCTGACCTCAGGGCTCTCACAACAAGACACTGCTCTCTCTCAAAGCAGTGGGACACTGGTGAAGTTATTTACAGCCTGAGCTTATCTCTCCCAGCTCAGGGATAGCTCCTCCAGGAACAGGCTAGGTTTCACTCCTCTGTCCTGTATCTCCATATCAGCCAACAGAATGGCCCCTGCTGCTGGGGGGCCAGGGCTCCCAGTCCCTCCACACACACACACTCTCCAGGGATCATTTAAACTCACAGGACCCTTAGACACAGACAGTGCTGGATGCTGCCAGGGGCCTCTTATCAGATCCAAGGCAGCCAGAGAGCATCACCTCTGACAGATGGAAGCCCCACAAGGGGCCGGGAGGGGGAGGGAGGCTTCCCCGGGGTGGCCCAGGTGGAGGGGTGAGGCGGGTTTGGGCAGATCTCCAGCTCCTGGACTGCCCCAGTGCCGGGAGCAGAACCTCTTGATTGTGGCTCTTGGAGAGGATGTCATTTCCCAGAAACCCTGAGGAGGGTTTCCATGCATCTGTAATCTTTGTCAACCCTTAGCTGTCCAGGACCGGACAATTCCCTCAGCGGAGGGAATGGAGCTTAACGAAGACTTGCCCAAGACCCCCCCACTCCCACCCCACCCCGGCGCCCAGTGGATCGCGCACGCCCAATCCACAGGGGAGCTGACCTAGCTGTGGCCCATCAGATATGTGTGTGTTGGGGGGGGGGAGTCCCCCTGTTCTACTTACAGCCACTTGATGCCATAGCACACCCCGGTGTGGAGCGCCAGGGCGAAGAGCAGGGCCTCGCAAACCTGCGGCCGCGCCCTCATCCTTGCGCCCGGGAGCGCCCGGGGATCGCACCCCGCCGCCGAAGCCGCGCCGAAGTCCCGTCGCCCGAAAGCCACCGCCGCCGGTCCTGCGCGCACGCCGCCTGCAGTCAGGGAAAGCGGGGTGGCGGGTTAAGGCTGCGCCCGGGCGGGGAGGCGTTTTATTCAAATTACAAAGGAGGGGTCGGACCCGGGAGGCCGCACGTCCCGGGCCTCCCCTCCCGCCCCGCACGGCACCGCGCCGGGCTCGCCCGGGCCTGGCCGAGGGCGGGTCCGCCTGGTGAGGAACGATTCCACCAGCCCGGGATGGGAAGGGTACGATATAAACCAGAGACGACCGGGAGACCCGGCGGCGGAGACAGCGAGAGGAAGAGATCGAAGCGGGAAGCCGCTGGAGGCTGAGTGAGAAGCGGGCACCGACACTCCGACCAAAAGCTGGGGAGAGCCAGGGGTCCCGGGCGCAGGCAGCAGATCCGGGCCCCGGGTCCCGCGATCGGAGTTCTCATCCCCGCAATCTCATTCGTTACTTTGGCCTTGGCACTGCTCCTTGTTTGCCCCTTCTGTGCACTGGGCACGATCGAACGTTCTCTTCACAGCTACCAGCCCTCCGATGGGTACCACCACTGCCTCCATCTTACAGACGAGAAAACTGAGGCTGGGAGGTGGGAACGGGGCCGCTCAGCCTAGTGAGCGTCGCTGCGTGCCTGGCGCTTTGCCCTCACGTCTACCTATGCCCGGTGAGACGAGGTCAGGGAGGAGATGGGAGATCGCTCTGGGCATCAGTTTCTCCGTCAGGGCGGGAAAGGGGAAGGCACGGCTCTCTATACCGAGGGCTGCTCAGAGGTCCCGGATCTCGCAGTCTACTGGCCTGGTCTCCGGACCTTGGCGGCGCTGGCGGAGCTCAGAACCCACGCGATGCCACCTCCCTCCACCAGGCGGTGCCCTAGAGCCGTGGAGGAGCCGCTCCCCCGCCCGCCCGCCGGCCCGCCCGCCCGCGGCTCGCGGAGTTGCTTTCCGCGGCTCTTCCCCTCTCTCTTCATTCTCACCTCATTAACTCCCTTCCCAGCTTCTCCCAAATTTACCAACACCTGGCGCTCGCCCCCCGAAGTCATCCGCTGCCCCCAGCCCCTCTTCCCTCAGGAAGAGACAAAGACAAAGGCATTCCTTTCTAAAGGGCTTGGCAGAGTTGGAAAAAGGAGGCATCAGACTTGGTGATGGGGGGGGGGCGCTGGAACGGGAGGAGCGCACTCCTCGGGCTCTGAGCTGGGGCAACCCCTCGACCACCCCAGCCTGCCATTTCCTCTGCTATAGACACAAAGGACGTATCTCCCAACGTCTCGGAGCTCTCCCCGCTGCCTTTCCTCACCAGGCCGTACACCTGCGCAGTGCGCGCGCGCGGACACACAAGCACCACTTCAATTCGAAACCCCACTTTGCAGCTACACGCTCAGTAAGGAGGTTCCTAGCCTTAGCATGCGTCTAGCCTGAGTGGGGAAGAATGAGAACACTTTCCTTCTCCCTAGCCCGAATCCAAACGCTTTTCCAGTAGTTCTAGATGTCGATTGTCCTCATCAGAAAATATCTATCTGCTGCATGTGTGTGTGTGTGCGCGCGCGTGCAAATCCAATCACTGTCCTTTCTTGTACCTCTTCTTCAAGTGTGGGCTTCCCACAAGAAGCCTAGAATTCCTGGGTGGGGAGGGGACTGGCATTGCATGGGGGGGGGCGGCGGAGGCGGGCTCCAGGACTTACAGCAGGGGATCAGTGTCCGGCCCAACTCTCCCAGGGTCACACAGGGACCCAGGCCTCTCCAGCTACTACTCCTGACTCTTTCCGAGAGGCCTCAAAGGTCCCAGAAGCTCCCTCCGCCACCGCCGCTCGTGGCTGGGGGAGGCAGCTCTTGGACTGGGCCTGCGGGCCTTGCGGATTATTCCTGTCCCATGTAAGAACATCCAGGACAGCCACGCGAGCCGCCGGGTCACCCTCAGCCTGCGGCTCCCTGCGGGTCAGCGCGCCCTCGCCGCTCGGAGCCCCCGGCCCGCCAGGGGGCGCTAAACAGGGCTTCACGGTGGGATCTGCAGGCGCCTCGGGTGCGGAGGGGCTTTGGGGCAAGTCTCCTCCGCTTCCCGGGCCCCCACGTCCCGACCTGGGATGAGGCGAACAGAGGGCGCCCTCTCGACGCTGAAAGACAACGTACGGTGCCTTGGCCGGTCCTGAACTGCCCAGACCCTGGCGTTAAGCCGGGTGGCGGCCCCCTCGGCGCCAGGCGTTTTAGAGGGCCCGCCCCAAAGCGCGTGCGGAGAGGTAGATGTCCCTTCCTCTCGGCGCTGGAGAACAGGTCTAAGCAACGTGGTCTGCCTCGGACGGAGGAGGATGGGGCCCGCCCGGGACAGCCGCACACGTCGGGCACCGCGATCGCCGTCGCCCCAGCCCTGCGCCTCCAACAGGTGGTCGTAGGGCTTTAAGTTTGGAAGTCTCTAGAAACCTCGCCGCGGGGGGCAGTGTCCCCCGAGCCTGGCCCGTGAGCGTTTGCCCGAGCTTACCCGGCCCCAGCGCGCCGAGGCCGGGCCCGGCGCCGGTGCCGCGCGAGCGGCCGCGTCCAAAGCGCGAGCGATGACGGAACTAGCCGATCCAAGCGGAGCCCAGGGGCGCCCAGAGACCACTTCAAGGTTACCTGCGAGGCGCAGCGAGCCCCGGCCCGCAACCCGGCTTTGACCCCAGCCAAGAGTCTTTCGGGATCGGTCTGCTAAGCTGCGGACGCGGCGCTGGGTCACCGCGGAGACACGGTGTTTGCGAAGTGGAAACCGAGGGTGGGGAACCGAGGCACCTCGGCGGCGGCGCCGGGACTGAGAAGTGCGGGGCTCTCGGTCGAGCTCGGCCAGATGTTCGGGGTGGCTCCAGATGTGCCCCGGGGTCGGGGTGGGGGAGGGTTCTCTCCTTCCCCAGCCCCCAGCTTGGAGCTCAGGTCTGTAAACAAATTCGGTTCCTGCCTAACCCCCGCTGCCTTTGGGAGGCGTCCCCCCTCCCCCCCATCTCCCGATTTGGTAGGAGCTGCTGATTGTTCTGCCCCCACCTCCCGCCTTTGGCCACCCCGTCGTCCCGCCTCACCACCGCAAACCCTCTACCGCAGGATCCAAGTCCCCCCACCCCCGGGATGACTCGGGCATGACCTCATCAGCCGACCGACTTGGGAGGGAGGGGGCCGAGCTTGGAGGTGGGGGACCGGGCTGGAGAGTCGGGGAGAGCCTCGGGAACTGTGCAGCCCACCCCATCCCGCATCCCCTTTCCGTCCCCGGCCCCGAGCCCAGGGTCCCTCCGTCTTGCTAAGGGCAACTCTCAGAGTGCCACGAAAGGGCAAAGCGAGAGAGCTTTGCAAAGAGGAGAGGGTTTTTCAGGGGGTGTCGCCCCGTCCCTCGGACTTGGGCGTCCCAGGCCCTAGCGGATCCCTGCGGAGCGTCCGCCCGTTGCCCACGACCACTGCTCACCTCCCCGGGCGCTCTCCGGGCGCGCCCTGCGTGCGCCCCGCTGCCCGGCCGGCCTCCGGAGTGGCAAGCGCGGCCCCCAGTGGGCTGGAGCGCTCTGGATCCGGGCGATTGGAGAGGGCGCCCTCTCGGTGAAGCGAAGGGAGAAAGACGCCGGGGATCCTGGCAAGCAGGGGGCTGGCTCCGGGGCGGTGCGGATCGGGGCTGCCTTTGGCTGCGCTCTGCTATGGGGGTGGGAGGGGTGGGCCTGGGCTCGCCGCTCGCTGGAGCTCTCCCCGGGCCGGGCGAGATCTGCGCCGCCCGCCTCCCCAACTGCTTTATAAAGTGCGGGCGGCCGCTTTGATCCGCCCACGTCAGCGCGCCGAAACCCCACCGGGTGGCTCCCGCCGGGCGCGGGGGCGGGGCGGGGTCCCGCCGAGGCTCGGGCCCGCAGAGCCCGCCCCGCGCGCCACAAGAATTCGCACCCTGTTGCGCTACAGAAGGAAAGTCGCTCAACACATCTGGTGTTTACGCGTGCCGATCGCGCCGGGCGTGCGGGGCGCAGGTAAGGGCCATCTGGAATCCTCGAAGCAACGGGGCGAGGAACCCCAACCTGCGGAGTCTGACTTGGGTGTCTCGGGCTGGAGCCCAACCTAGGCTTAGCTCCCAAGGCATCGGAGGTCCTGAGTCCTGTCCTCGCTGTCTGGGTTCTGGCCCTTGGCGGGGCTCTAAAGCCTCTGGTTCATCTAGCCATCTCAGAGAATGGAGGTGCTAGGATTGTGCTCCGTGAAACACGCGGTACACTCGTCCCCAGTCTCTGGGAGTGACTGGAGAGATCTCTGGACAACGCACTCCCTCTAGGAGTCGCCGCCTCGGAATAGGTTTGAGAAATTAAAGGAGACTAACAGAAGGCCTCCCATGAAGTCTAGGTCAGCCTGCGGCTGAGGGCACCAAACCAGACCAAAGCACACCCTAGCCCGCCTTCTAACTCCCCTCTTCCCACCTCTCCTCAGGCATGATGGAACCAAGGACTTGTGTCTTCCTTCTAAGGAGCACCTTCAAATGCCTGCTTCTCTCCCTTTTTTTGTGCGCTACTAGGGCTTGAACTCAGGGCCTGAGAGCTGTCCCTTAGCTCTTTTGCTCAAGGCTGGTGCTCTACTTCTTGAGCCCTACCTCCACTTCTGGCTTTTTGGGGGTGCTTAATTGGAGATAAGAAGCTCTTGAACTTTTCAGCTGGCTTCAAACCATGATCTCAGATTTTAGCCTTCTGAATAGCTAGAGTTACAGGTATGAGGTACCAGTGTTCTTTTCCCGGTTCTTTGCAGCTGCAAATGAAGTGACCTTCACAGGCTGTCCCTTACCCAGCGACACACATCTTCATGCACACCACACACACACACACACACACACCTGGGACTACAATGCCTACAGAGCCTCCCCAACAACATGTAAGTATAACTACATACGGTGAGTTAGTCCCCCTTGTACACAGGCTGGGACACACCACCACGAATGGTTTCACACTCACTACTCAGGAAATACTGGACACCTTAGATGCTCCCACACTCAGCACATGAGTGTGAAATGACCACACACATCATTAGGATGAGGTTGACCACACAACCTGCGCCAAACCGGTTCCTGTGCAAAGACACATGTCCATACATACAGAACACACACACAGTTCCCCAAATACATATACATCAAATACATATACACTCCTACACAGTCAGGAAATACCCTTGTAAACATGTTGAGTCGTCCCCACCTCTCATTA